TTCACACCACTTCCTAATGTCTTTTCCTTGGAGAATGTTCTTGTTGAGAATGTGAACTCTAGAGTCAGACTGCTTGGTCTCAAATCCCAGCTCTACCACTTACCAGCTGTGATCCTGAACAATTTGCTTAAATGGTTAGTGCCTCAGTTCCCTCATCTGTAAGATGGGGATGACAACAGTATCTATCTCACATGGTGATTGTAAAGATAGAATAAGATGGTCCATGGCAAGTGCCTGTACAACAACGTCTGGCATTTAGTAAGCACTCAAATATTGGTTATTTGTTTTAAGAGCTATTACGCCAAATATTCCTTAATTTGGGGGAAAGTCTCCCCCCACTGTTATCCTCACCCCCATATCACTATTGCAAGAGTGCTGCTAGTAGCTTGAGGACAGATCCTTGGCTTTCAGACCTAGCCTTAAAAGAAATCAGACTTCTACTAAATATAGGGCAACTATATCATCCAAACTGGGACACTTTTCAGAGTGATAGAGAGTGCTATTAATAATTATGCCAGGACAACAGGCAGAAATGGGGACTGTCCTGCGCAAATGAAGACCTAAGGTCACTCAATTTAATAGGAAATGAAGACTAAATGTGAAAAACGTTGTATTTATCTCTACTGCATTAGTACAGGTACTAGGTATTTGGTAAGTACAAAAAGGGACAGTAGAGGTTTTGTGAGCTGTGGCTGAGAACAACAACTTTTGCCCCACCAGCTGCATAAAATTCCCAGAATGCAGTAAAACCTAATTAAACAGGATGGGACTGTCGAGACTGTTCATCCTTGCTGGATAAACCCTTTCTTGTTACACAAAAGGCTAATGAGTAGTATAAACAGGACTCTGCCAAATATTTATAATACTTAGGAGAACAAACTGTTTTTAACTACCCTCCAGTAGTGCAGAAACACCATTTGCATACAATTGTAATGCTGAGTAAAAATCAGTCTTATTCATTCATGAGAACAGGTTCCTTACGGACGTCAACAAGCCCGTTTGAATTTAGTGAGCCTAGTTTGAGCGGGTATGTATTTGAAATGATAAAACTGCATTTCTTTACATACATTATATAGTATTATATAATGTATAATACATGATTTATGTATTAATATCGTTCTACTTTGACCCAATTAATGAGCTTTGACTGTACTGTATAATTAAATAGAGTAGGTAAAATAGAGCCATGAAACAAACTCCAATCACAAAAACACATATAAAGTTTTACTCATTGGCACCAGACATGATTTAATTGGAAATTCAAATTTTTTATTCTATTTTCAAAACATAAGTGCTTTTAAAAAAAGTCCAACGTGTCTTTTAGTATCACATGCTTAAAAAGAACAAAATATGAATCAAGTTTTCTAAAAAGTTGCTTTAAAAGTGAAATAGCATTGTTTGGGAAGCATAGTGATTGACAACTTAGTAAACCCAGAGAAATGCAGCCGTTAGTGTCAGTTTATGCAAATTAGCATGGAAGGGAGTGGTGGCTTTCACCTGTGCCACTCCAGATGTACTACCTGTGGTTGGGGTACACTTGCACTCAGTGAAAAGACAAACAGTTTCAGAACACGTTGTAAATTATCTTTATAAGTGACCAGAAGATCAGAAAGCTACTTACTGTGTGTTTCTATTTGCCATAAGAGAGATATTGAAAAGGTTGGCCATCCTCTCTTTGTTTCCACTATCTGTTTTCTATCATCCTACTATGCTCACTTATTCACGTGTACTCATAATATTGTCACTGGTTCTGTAAGAATTGTTTACGGAGTCCACCATCCCCATCCCCATCCTTGGAGAAAAATCTGAGGGAAAGGAGGGGATTGAAGTAGGAAGTTGTCTGAGTGCAAACAGGGAAATTAATAGAGTCTTGACACACAAATCAGGAGAAGAAAAGCGCTATGGACTGAATGTTTGTGTCCCTCCAAAATTCATATCTTGAAGCCTTAATCCCTAATGTGATGGTATGTGGAGGTGGGGGCCTTTGGGAGGTAATCAGAATTAGATGAAGTCACGAGGGTGGAGTCCCCAGGACAGGATTAGTGCCCTTATAAGAAGAGGAAGAGACCAGAGGTCTTGTTCTCTGCACCATGTGAGGACACAGCAAGAAGGCGGCCATCTGCAAACCAGGAAGAGGCTCTCACCAGCCACTGAACCTGCTGGTACCTTGATCTCGGACCTCCCAGCCTCCAGAAATCTGAGAAATAAATGTGTGTTGTTTAAGCCACCCAGTCTATGGTATTTTGTTATAGCAGTCTGAACTGACCAAGAAAGTTAGGAGAAACATTCCTCAAACAAGGAACCTAAACATGAGACCAGGGAAGAGGTCTTAAGGATTCCTCCACTACGCTTTGTGTGTCAGCCTGAGGTCACAGTCACACCCCACCCCTCAACACACACATACGCAACGCTTATATTTACCTACTTAGTCTGTCAAATGTAGATACAGATAGATATACAGACACACCAAAATTACTTACATTCAGAAAAATTCCCATGTATGCTTAGACATACACACAAATGCAAGTATTTATAAGAAACAGATATATGCCCACAGATACATAGATATGAACACTATAATCAGGAAGTGGAAATGTAAGTGAAAGAGTTTAAGAATAGATGAGAGGGCAGGGAGTTGGGGGGGGGCGTTGGATGCTGTAGAAAGTGAATAGGTGACTGAGACAACGACCAGGTGAGCACAAGGAAGGAGTGCTCAGTAAAGTAACTATAGACCAGACTGCTGGATTCCTGTCTGACAAAGATGGAGGATTCAATTATTCTCTGTATTGTGTGTCGGCCCACTCTTCAGAGGCAAGGATTAGGTGCATAGAGCTCTCTTCAGGGCACTAACCCACCTGATTCCCTCTCTGCTGCCTAGGTGTAAGACACTACCCAGGCATCTTCTCTTCTTTCCCCTTCTTCTTTGGAATTGGGCTCCTGGCACCATTTCTCTGGATTATTCTGTATTTTCTGATACAAATACATCTCTGAGTACTAGCAATCTTCATAAAATGTGATTTCAAGTGTTAATACAGAAAGACTTAAATATACACATTGCATTTCCATTTTTTGATATTTCACCAAAGGGAGAATAGGAATTATATGTGCAGATACAGAGAAGGCAAAAGCAGAGACAATAATTTTATACAGAAAGGAGTTCATCACTCAGTGTGAGGCAACATGTGAGTAAAGAAGGGAACCATGATCTGGTACTCTCTTTTCCCAAGAAAAGGCACTTAGAATAAATATTTCCAATTTATAGCAGCATAAAATCCAACAATTTAGGGTTTACTCACTTAAAATAATGTCCTAAAGCACCCACCACTCAGTCACACAATGAAACCACACATAAGAAAAACCAAACTTTAGGAATAAGTTATTATTAATACCTGCTCCCCAAACAGGAGTTAGAAAACTAAGTTGGTAACAGATCTAGAGAATAAAAACACATGCAAACTTTTATGAACCATGAGAGAATTAAGGCCCACAATGAAGTCCCTGGGTGAGCATATGCCTCCAGGCAAGGGTTCACTTCTTCTAAAGCAGTTAGTTTATCAGAAAAGTTCGCTCTTCTTGGGAGGGATGGGATAGAAAGGGGCAGGGTGGGAGTGATCAGGTCATCACATTTCAGTTCCATGCAGGATCAATCAAGGCAGGAACCAGGTGTCAAAATGCTCCCAGCAGCGAGGGCCCAAAGGCCTCATTGCATGGCACAGATGCTGTGGGGCAGGAACTCCTGCACGTAGGTGGCAGCTGCCTTGGAGAGGTAGGTCATGGTGCCAAACCTGCCACTGGGTGCACTGTCATACAGGAGAGTACAGATGCCAGACGCAGGATCCTTTGCCAACATGATATCATCTGCACCGAGGGTTTTCTGTTTGGTATTTAAGGGTGGGAGAACACAGGTGAAAGGAAAAATTACTAATCCTACTAATTAAAGTCCTAATTAGGATAACTCAGAGCCTTCTCCCCATCACCTAGTTGGATCTTAGGCTATTTAGCTAGGAAGGAATCAGAGTTATGCACAAAACAGTGAATATGAGTTTCTTTCTTTCTTTTTTTTTTAAAGTTACCATGACTTTTATTTATTTATTTTTTTTGTAATTTTTTTTTTTTTGGTGAGGAAGATCAGCCCTGAGCTAACATCCATGCTAATCCTCCTCTTTTTGCTGAGGAAGACCGGCTCTGAGCTAACATCCACTGCCAATCCTCCTCCTTTTTTTCCCCAAAGCCCCAGTAGATAGTTGTATGTCATAGTTGCACATCCTTCTAGTTGCTGTATGTGGGACGTGGCCACACCATGGCCGGAGAAGCGGTGTATCAGTGCGCGCCCGGGATCCAAAGCCGTGCCGCCAGTAGCAGAGCACCCGCACTTAACCACTAAGCCACGGGGCCGGCCCTGAGTTTCTATACATGCATTTTTCACTAGATCCCCAAATCATATGAAATTATTTTTAAAGTATTAATTGCTTAGAATTTTTGAAAGTTAAATATACTAGTTAATTAAATGAGTTGTGCCTGTTAAGAGTCAAATGTTAATACTTACAAATCACCCTAGAGGGACTTTGGTCTGAATCTTTCTAATACTACTGATTTCAGCATGTATTATTTTATTTTGTATTTGATCACTATTTCTTTCTAAGTTGACTTAATTCAAACAGACCATAAGCTTCCCAAGTTAGAGTCTATGCCTAAAAGGGATCACATTTTCTGATATGTGGACTAACAGCAATCCTACAAATTTAAAATTAGGACTGTCCTAGAAAATCCTGGATACTTTTAATTTCTTTTGCATTCCCCCACAATGCCTAATAGAATGAAACACCTATTACATGTTTTGGAGACTTTCCTATTGACAATGGTGCATGTCCTTCACCTTATGTGTTCCTACTCTTAATCTAGGAAACATTCACAAAGCTTTCAATAAATAGTTTGCATTTTTAAATGTGGTTAATTTCCTGGGAGAAGATTTATTATGAAAATAAGAAAAATGTGGAATTAAAAGTTTCAATTTAATATTTTCCTATAGGTAAGCAACAAAAGTAAAAACAAAATAAACCAAACCAAAATCAGATCTTCTCTTTTCCTTAATAGTCCAGAAAGGATATGCTACCCAATAGTGTCTTATTAAGTTTTTATTGCTACAAAAAGTAGTGTGATAAGAAGTTTGAAATATGATGAAAAGCATAAAATCCCCCTGAGTTCTAGGCAACTTTACCATCTAACACATCCACAATATACATGGTGAAAGACAGAGGTCGTCCTACAGCCTACTTCTTTTACAAACACAGCTCAGAGCCACTACAAAGGGGGCCCAGAAAACAGCTATGAGGAAGAGGGCACAAGAAAGTGACCTTGGCTTCATGAAGAGCTCTGACTGCAGTCAGGTTAGTGTCAGACATCCCCTTTGAGAAAATAACAGGTTTTCCTACCTGTTCTTGAAGGAACAAGTCATTGGCAATATGCACTATTTTTTCCACAGCAATGATGCTTCCAATACTATGAATTTCAATATCTGCCATCATGGTGAGTACAAGGATGGCTTCAACCAGAAGCTGGCGGTACTCTGGCTGAGGTACACGATTCAGGACAGACTCCACATGAACAGAGAATTTAATCTCGCCTGGAGTCATCTGTGATAGAGAAAAAGAAAATCATATCCTAAGAGCCCATCATCCAGGAGGCATCAATCACCTATTCTGAAAGGCAGAAAAACACTGCAGCCAAGAGTGTTGCTTCGGTCTCCTTTAAAGTAACTGAGTGAGTAAATTGGTTCAGTCTTTTTGGAAGGCAATCTGGCAATGTATAACAAGAGTCATAAAAGTGTCAATGCCTTCTAACCCATAATCCTATTGCTGGGAGTTCATCCTAAGGAAATAATTCAAGAGAGGAAAAAAGCCCTATGTGCAAGAGTGTTTATAGTAGCATTAGTCACAAGCGTAAAAGTAGAAGTAACCTAAACATGGGAATGGTTGTATAAATAATGGCATATCATGGTATAGCAACTTCATGAGTTTTTATAGAGTCACTTAAAAGAATAAATATGATGACTGCGGATAAAGGAAAGATCTAAGTAGAACTTGAAATTATATATACATGATAATTAGAATTATGTAAAACATTTATATACTGTTAGATTAAAATGGGCATGAAAAAATATAAAGTTATTTTAGGGTGAAGGGGATTGAGGAATAATTTTTGGTAAAATTGTATTGAGTATATACTTTAGGGCAGCAACGTAGATTTGAAGTCCAAAGACCTGGGTTCAAGTCCTGTCTTTGTCAGTTACTAGTTCTATGGCCTTGGACAATTCATCTCTCTAAATTTGTTTCCTCATCTGTAAATCAGGAACTACAATCCCTTCCTTAGCTATTTCACATAGTTATGCTGAAGATCAAATTAAAGAATGTGTGAAGGTGCTTTGAAGACTCTTACAGGTGCCATTCAGGTATATATTATTATTAATTCTATAACATTTCAATCTTGCTTACAGGCAGAGAAAAGACAAACAGAGGACACAATGTTCTTTATTAGAGAAAAGGCCTTTAGGCAAGATGAAGGCCTGAAGCATAGCATTAGCTTTCTGTACCCGCTCCTCCAACCATTACCTGCAACAACTCCAGTGTTTTTGAGAATTTTCTACTGTCCAAGCTTACTATTCCTAGCTTGCTACTTCTAGCTTCTTTGTTGATTTTGTATAAAAGCTATTTCTTTATAATTTCTGTGTGACTGGGCAAAAAGCGAAATATAAAAGCACTTGATAATAATCTATGCCTGTGGTTCATGGCGATGTTTTTCAATCATGGTTATATATCAGAATCATTCTAAGGATTTTTTTTTTAAGTACAGATGCTCAGGCCCCATCCCTGGAGATTCTAATCCACTAAATTGCAGAGGTTACTCTGACATATAGTTAGGGCTAAGGACTACTGGCTTATGATCTAATAGTCTACAAGCATCCTACCAAAGAAAGGTAGGGATGAGAAGGATAGGGACATGAGAAGTCATTCATTCTTAGATTTCTGTCTCATCTGCCCTCTCCAACTCTGACAACACTCACATAAACCAGGCTAACTTAATCAACCATTAAAAGAAGCTATCTCTATACAATTAATGTAATACATAATTATTCTCTAATATTCCCATTCTATTTTTTTAAAAACATTCTCTCCTTTCTTCAAATGCATTTCATGTTCAGTTGATTTATAAAAGTATAGATTTGTTATTTTGAAAAGTGATCACTGAAATACTTTAGCCAGACAAGCTATCAATCACATAAATGTGAAAGACACAGAATCTTACCTCTCTAGTGGTTGAAGAAGGAAGAACAAAACCTTCCACAGAAAGTCCATGACACTGCAAAACAGAAAGAACACGTTGTCACCAAGGATATGTTGACAACTGGGAAGGTGTCAGGAGACACTTAGCATTTCTAGGTGTGCTTCACAGGGTAGATGCTGAGTAATCACAGGCCAGTGAAAGGCCCTGCAGCCCAAGTGTCCTTGCCAAGGGGTTGCTATTACTATGTGGCAAGACGGAGGGTGGGACTACAGGAGGCCCAAGGTTCATTCTCTACTTAGGGGAGTAGAAGGGATAGGGAAGGTCTACTTCCTGGGGTAGACTAGCCCCAAAGATTTAGATACCATGCTAAGTCATAGCGCCACCACAAATACAGTCATGTACCACATAATGATGTTTTGATCAACAATGGACCACATATACAACAGTGGTCCCATAAGATTAGAACCATATAGCCTAGGTGTGCAGTAGGCTATACCATCTAGGTTTGTGTAAGTATACTCTATGATGTTTACACAATGACAAAATCACCTAATGACGCATTTCTCAGAATGTATCCGTGTCGTTAAGTGACGCATGTCTGTAGGCTTTCAGAAAGATTTTTAGGCTGAAGAAAAATAAGATATGCATTTATCAGACATGCATAGTTACTACATTTTCTAGTTAAGCATCCCCTATCAGCACTCCTGATTCCCTCACCCTGCTCCATTTTTTCTACAGTACTTGTCATCTTTTAATATTCTATATAATTTACTTACTTATTATGTTTATTATTTATTGTTTGTCTCTCTCTAGTAGAATGTAAGTTCCATAAGGACAGAGATTATTGTCTGTTTTGTTCTTTGCTGTATTGCTATTAGCACCTAAGATATTGCCTAGTGCACAGCAGATGCTCAAGAAATACCATATGAATGAATGATATTGTATCTTCCCTCTCACCATCAACTCAATTATTAAAATACAATGGGAATTAATAACTTAGATTTTAAATAAATCCAAACATTATACATTAAACCACAGATAAAGATTCCAATCCAACAGGTTTATCGACTCTACCAGACCCTTCTATTCCATGTTTCATACACCAAATACCAGTCTTTGTATAGAGAATTACCAGCCTTCAAACATATGTGTAAAGTGATTATGTTACATTCATACTCTGAACGGAATGGAATTAAAAAACAGAGGGCATTTGTTTTTCCTCTTACATTAGGATTCGAAGTCCAGGTTTTGATTTTGCCACAAGATACCCAATCTTCCCAGTCAGATTTAAATTTTCCTTCTCAGGCCGGCCCCGTAGCTTAGCGGTTAAGTGCATGTGCTCCGCTACTAGCGGCCCGGGTTCGGATCCTGGGTGCGCACCGACGCACTGCTTGTCCGGCCATGCTGAGGTGGCGTCCCACATACAGCAACTAGAAGGCTGTGCAACTATGACATACAACTATCTACTGGGGCTTTGGGAGAAAAAGGGAAAAAAAGGAGGAGGACTGGCAATAGATGTTAGCTCAGGGCCAGTCTTCCTCAGCAAAAAAAAAGAGGAGGATTGGCATGGATGTTAGCTCAGGGCTGATATTCCTCACAAAAAAAAATGTTCCTTCTCTTATATTCTCACAGCCTTGTGGTTTTGTACCTTTATCATAACACGTTTTGGCCTTGCATTATAGCTGCTATTTAAGAAGATAACTATGGATTAAATTCCTTAATGACAGAACAGATACCTTCTATGGTATCTGGGGTACAACAGCACCTACTATGTGTCTGTGAAATTGAACTGCCATAACCCAGGCATAACTGGAGAGATAAAGTACATACTTGTCACCACTGTGCTATACAAGTTAGACGGAAGGAAAGCAAGTTTTTGCTGTTCTTGGAAAGAACGATCACCAGAGCTGACAGTCTGAGAAATCAACTTTCACCTTTCCAAAAGACCACCTGATTCCGTCCCTGGAAGAATAACAGTGTACTAAAGGGAGAAATATAACTAAAGGTTTTGAAGTCCTGGATGAAGCATTCTTCAGGTCCTTGCCAAGGGCAATAAAGCAAAAAGTGGCACCTAAGAGACTATGAATGAGACCTATGAATGGGTACGATGGTCTTCTTGGTCCTTTAAATCTGTTACAATCATAATGTGTGATGTCCCCTTAAATGTCTTTGGCAAACTAGGCCTTTGAAGGAAAAACAAAAATTGGTCATACCAACAGAGTGTTTGGACTAGTAGCATCATTATGACTTTGTATTCATTTAGTACTTTTTATCCAAGAAAAATATAGGTAAGAGCTTCTTACAAACTTCCCAGATGCCACAGATGTTTCACTATAGTGACATTTTGTTATTAAGAGTACATTGCTACAAATAGCATTTCCACTCTACAATAGCTACAAAGAAAGTGAGCCCTTTATCACCAAATTCATTTCACTAGCAGCAAATGTACTGCAATGTCCCACAATGTCCAACTATGGCCAAAAGCAGAGAAGTGACAATTTTTGAAATCTAATTTATAAACACCATAGCAACAATAATAGAAAGAGACTAAATTGTCAAGAATGTCAAAACAACAAATCAACTGTTATATTTTTATGTTTCCTTAGGTTTTGTCCATATGAGCATATGACTTTTACATAATTGCAGTGATGTTACAGTCATGTCATATCTCAGCCAATAAGATTGAAGATTTCAAGGGGGAAAATAAGGAGACATCTACAATGTGTTATACTCACCTTCTGCAAAACTTTCCATACTTTTTGATAAAATCCAATTGGGACTCTGTTCAGTGCTCCATCCAGCCTTCTTCGGCGTTGCCATTGACCTTGACGACTATCTTTAGATGCCTGTTGACCATATGTACTAGGAAAAGACCCACTCCTTGGAGTCAAAGAGGTTCCAGGTGACTTGGGAGAAAAGGAGAAGAAAGAACGCACATCAAAAGTTATCTCGAGGAGATGTCATCATCATGGCAGTGTGAGAAGATCCTTTTGTCTGTCCTCTTCAATATACAGTGCGTAAAACATCCAAAACCCAACAAAGGCTACAATGCCCAAAATACAAGGACACGGGAGAGATCCACACATTGGTACATACGAAGGTGGGTGGAATAGAGCACAGAGAGGAGACGAAATAGGGGAACAACAGAAGTGGGGCCTAAGACCCTGGACCACCGGCTGCAGCAGATGGGCCAGTCACCCCCAGACCCAGAGAACCCAGTGGGCAGCAGTGAAGGCACTCATATGACTCCAGCCAGTCATCTGCAGTGGCATCTGTGGTGACAGGGAACACAGCAGCAGCAGAGGTGAAGCCCCATCATCCCAGGCCCCTGGGAGCTCAGACCCTGATAGCAGCAGCAGAGGCACGCACATGACACTGATACCCAACTACAGCAGCGCATATGGTACAAGGTTACAGGCAACAGCAAAGGTGGTGCCCTATGAACCCTGCTCCCTCCCTACCCTCCTCCTCCTCCCACCACAGGCAGAACTTCCAACCCAGGTGATTTCAGACGCAGCAGAGGTGTCAGCCATCCCTGTGCCCCTGGCAGTGAAGCCAGCGACGGCAACACCAGCAACAGTAAGGCATCAGTGACCTCCAGAGGCACAGGCGGCAATGATGAGAGTACTGGTGACACTCCAAATAGAGGAGGTGGAGGGTGGATTGTGCAGATCCTCAAATATAGCCAGAGGCAGTTCAGGTAAGAGAAATCAAAAACTAGCACTATAGCGCTACCTACTGAGAAACTAAAGAAAGGCCTCTAATCTCTAATTGGTTGAAAAGATTGAATCAAAACAAACAAAGCTATTCTTAATAAGAAAAGCGTTTGCTATAACAAATGAGTCAGCAGAGGAATAACTCAGCTAGCACGACAAAAAGCCACCGTAACATGGCATCACAAAAAGAAAATAATAATTCTCCAGAAACCAAACATAAAGTCATGGAAGACTATGATCTAACTGATAAGGAATTAAAAATAGCTGTCATGAAGAAACTCAATGAGCTACAAGAAAACTCAGAAAGGCAGTTCAATGAACTCAGGAATAAAATCAATGACCAGAAGGAATACTTTAGTAAAGAGATCAAAACTCTAAAAAAGAACCAAACAGAAATTCTGGAGCTGAAGAACTCAATGAATGAGAGGAAGAATACATTAGAAAGCATTGGAAATAGAGCAGATCATATGGAAGAGAGAATTAGCAAGCTTGAAGCTAGAAACCTAAAAATCATGCATGTAGAAGAGGAGAGAGAACTAAGATTTTTAAAAAATGTAGGAATTCTATGAGCATTATCCAACTCCATTAGAAAGGGCAACATAAGGATAATGGGTATTCCAGAGGAGAAGAAACAGAGAGGAGAGCAGACAGCTTATTTAAAGAAACAATAGCTGAGAACCTCCCAAACCTGGGGAAGGAACTGGATATACAAACCCATGAAACTCATAGAACATACAATTATCTCAATGCAAAAAGACTTTCTTCAAGACAACTGATAATAAAACTGTCAAAAGTCAATGACAAAGAAAAAATATCAAAGGCAGATAGGGGAAAAAAATAACTTAGAAAGGAACCTTCATTAGTCTATCAGCAGATTTTTAAGCAGAAACTCTACAGGCCAGGAGAGAGTGAAAAGATACATTCAAAATATTGAAAGACAAAAACTATCAGCCAGGAATACTCTATAAAGCAAAGTTATCTTTCAGACATGAAGGAGAAATAAAGTCTTTCCCAGACAAACAAAAGCTGAGGGAGTTCATTGCTACTAGACCTGTCTTACAAGAAATGTTGAAAGGAGCTCTCCTACCTGAAATGAAAAGGCAAAGGTATACAAAGCTTTGAGCAAGGTGATAAATAGAAAGAATCAGAAAGTTGCAACTCTATATTAGAATAGGTTAGTAAACATTTAATTATAACATAAAAGTTAAAGAGAAAGAAAGCATTAAATATATCTATAACCACTTCAATTTGGTAACAAACTCACAATACAAAAAAGGATAATTTGTCACAGCCAAAACATAGAAGAGGAAGAGGAAAAGGATAGAACCTGCATAGACAAATGAAGAGAAGATGCTATCAGCAGAAAAAGTACTATCTATCTTATCTATGAGACCTTTTATACAAACCTTATGGTAACCACAAAACAAAAATTCAGAGCAGAGTCACAAAACATAAAAAAAGAGGAAACTCAGAAAAGTATCATAGAAAACCACCAAATGGAAATCACAGATAGAAACACAAGGAAAAAGAAACCATGGAAGTAGAAAGATATAATGGCAGTATTAAGCCCTCATATATCAATAATTAAATATAAATGGGTTAAATTCACCAATCAAAAGACACAGAGCAGATGGATGGATTAAAAAACAAGACCCAACAATATGCTGCCTCCAGGAGACCCATCTCAGCTCAAAGTGAAGAGATGGACGATGATACTCCAAGCAAATGGCAACCAAAAGAAAGTGGATATAGCCAAACTCATATCAGACAAAATGGACTTCAGGCCAAAGAAAGTAACAAGAGACAAAGATGGACATTATATAATGATAAAGAAGACATAACATTTATTAATATATATGCACCTAACATAAAGAACACCAAAGTATAAAAAGCAATTGTTAACAGACCTAAAGGAAGAAATTAACAGCAACACAATACTAGTAGGGGAGTTTAATATTCCCCTTACATCAGTGGATAGGTCATCCAGACAGAAAGTCAACAAGAAAACATCAGTCTTAAATCAAACAATAGACCATATGGACTTAATAGACACAGATAGAACATTCCATCCCAAAGCAGCAGAATACACATTCTTCTCAAATGCACATGGAACATTCTCAAAGACAGATCATATGTTGGGAAACAAAACAAGTCTCAATAAATTTAAGAAGACTGAAATCATACTAAGCATCTGTTCCAACCACAGTGGTATGAAACTAGAAGTCAACTACAAAAAGAAAGCTGGAAAAGTCACAAACATGTAGAGACTAAACAACATGCTACTGAGCAACAATTAGATTAACAAAAAAATCAAAGGAGAAACCAAAAAGTACCTGGAGACAAATGAAAACTTAAACACAACATACCAAAATCTATGGGATACAACAAGAGTGGTACTAAGAGGGAAGTTTATAGCAATATTCCTCCCTGAAAAAACAAGAAAAACCTCAAATAAACAATCTAATACTATACATAAATGAACTAGAAAAAGAAGAACAAATGAAACCCAAAGTTAGTAGGAGGGAAATAATAAAAATCAGAGTGGAAATAAATGAAATAGAGACCAAAAAGACAGTAAAAATGATCAATAAAATTAAGAGCTGGTTCTCTGAAAAGAAAAAGAAAATTGACAAAATTTATCTAGAATCACTAAGAAAAAAAGAGAGAAGACTCAAATAAATAAAATCAGAAATGAAAGGGCAGAAATTACAATGGCTACTACAGAAATACAAAAGATTATAAGGATACTATGAAAAGCTATATGCCAAAAAAATGGGACACCTACAGGAAATGGATAAATTCTTAGAATCATAAAACCTCCCAAAACTGAATCAAGAAGAAATAGAGAATCTGAATACACCAATCATAAGTAAGGAGATTGAAACAGTAATCAAAAACCTCCCCCAAAACAAAAGTCCAGGACCAGATGACTTCTCTGGTGAATTCTACCAAACATTCAAAGAAGATTTAATACCTATCGTTCTCAAACTCTTCCAAAAAATTGAAGAGGAGGGCACATTTCCTAACTCATTTTACAAGGCCAACATTACCCTGATACCAAAACCAGACAAGGACAACACAAAAACAGAAAATTACAGGCCAATATCGCTGATGAACATAGATGCAAAAATCATCAACAAAAAATTAGCAAAACGAATACAACAATACATTAAAAGGATCATACAACATGATCAAGCAGGATTTATTCCAGGGATGCCATGATGGTTCAAAATCTGAAAATCAACCAACAAGATACACTACTTTAACAAAATGAAGAATAAAAATCATATGATCAAACAAGTCTCCATAAATTTAAGAAGACTGAAATAATACCAAGCATCTTTTCTGACCACAACGGTATGAAACTGGAAAT